TTTTGCATTCTTCTTGGAGGGTTCAACGAAATGCTTTCTTTTCTTACTCTTGTTATTTTATTCCACCACATTAGCCTAGCTTGTGGTATATTACTCTCAACACGCTTGTCCGAATTTCGATTATTTTCTGTCCGAATTTCGATTATTTTCTTCAGTTCTCAATCGGACAATGAGTTCTTCAATATTCATCTCATTACGTTTATGTTTGAGATAGTTCTCGAAGTCCTTCCACATGAGTGGAAGTTTCTCGATAATTGCAGTAACTTGAAATGATTCATTTAGAGACATATTCTTGGCGTGAATGTGATGGAAAATAACCTGCAATTCTTGTACTTGACTGATGACCGTCTTCGAATTTACCATTTTGTAGTCTAAGAATTTTTCACAATGAACTTTTTAGTTCCAATATCTTTAGTCTTGTATTTCTTCTCCAATGATTCTCATAGTTCCTTTGTAGACTTCATGAAACTATACACATTATATAATGTGTTGTCCAAATCATTTAGTATGTAGTTTTTGCATAAGAAGTCTAAATGTTTCCAAACATCCAATGCTGTAAATGATGCCATATTATTTTCCCCTTCTTGCACGGCGAAAACATCTTCTTTCAAGAATTTTACCAAGTTTAGGGTTGTGAGGTAGAACAACATTTTCTGTTGCCATCTCTTGAACTTAACCCCACAGAACTTCTCCGATTTCTCTCCATGTGGAACAAAGTTTGTATGAACTGTGGGAGAGACAATCGCAACCGGAGGAATCACAACAGTAAGAACCAAGTTAGGTAAAACTCCTTTCGAAATTCCCATATTCGAAGTATCATTCGAATATGTATCAATCTTGTTAAACCGTATTCATTTCTGTTTACACAAAATAGAAGATAAACCAAAAATCAAAATCGAGGAGTAGAGGAAGTTAAATCGAATCGAAATCAGTTTAACCGAATACAATTAAAGAATAAAGTTATCACTCAAACAGAAATCGACTTGAGATTGTTGATAAGATAATGAATTTGAATGATGGCTTTACACCAAAAATCAAATTTACCAACCTTACAAAAAATTGAACTGAGTATCAACAAGGAAATGAGTAATAAACATCAAAGAAAAAGAATACCAAAATAACTCTAAGTGAAATGGATGCAAAGTCGATGTAAGAGTTGAACTCTTTATCCTTAAATCGATTTTGCCCCACAACGGTGCCTACAGATGATGTTAATCAACTCCCAAGATACAACGACTATCTCATTGTATTTGTAGCACTCCAAAACACAAGAACAACGAACCAAATATTGATTTTTGTACTCCTTCTAAAATGAAATGGAAAACAAATTCTTATGCAGAATTTTGGCTAGGAAAAAATGAATTTAATGTTATGCTATGATTGCATATCATTAGGATGAAGTAATGGACGTCTCAAGTGTCTTATTTATAGAGGAGAAGTGGTTGTGAGTGAAGACACATGTTTCAAAACTCAACAACCTTTGCCAAGGGTCAGAGCTTTTAATGTCTCATTTGCGTTGCTCAAACATCAGAAATAGAGACTCTGTCACTCACAAATCGCTAGCATGTCGCTTGAGCGATAGCCTCATTGCTCGAGCGGTGGGCGAGCGGTGGAGATAGATAAATACTCAACCAATTTCCTCTCTTTTTTCTTCAAATTTGGACCGCAATTTCTCATTCATCCGGAATTGATTTTCATATTTCAAATATATCACGACGATCTACTCGACGAGTAGAACAAGTTAGTCCATTTGTTTTTATAATTTAACTATCGGATCTAATTTGAATATTCGATCAAAATTGATACGAAAGTAACTTTTCCATAATTTAATACTTCAACAAATTCCTACAAGCATGACTTCAGAAAAAACGAGAAATACTATGAGCAATTTCCAACAATTGGTTTAACCTACCAGAGTCCAGCAATGGAAAACTCAAAGTTCAGTTTAAGATGCATCAAATTGGCATCTTGAACTGGAGGATGACTGCAGAACAGTAACTTTATTCATCCCTTCAAGTTTGGGTTCTTGTGCATAGGAAATAGAAAATAGAAAACACAGAACATCATAGGCAAGAATTTAAAATGACAATCCGGTAAAAAAAAATGCATGAGTAAAACAACTTGCAATATCATGATAGCTCACCCAAACATGTTTAAAAAATAACTATGTTGCACAGCCTGGCAAGAAAATACATAGCCAGTTAACAATCACTGAAATATTACATATCTTCATAAAACAGCAGAATTTTCCACAACATATGAAGAATTGAATCCACTCGATTATCCGCACAATTTATTCAATCCAAAATTGCCACCGACTGCATTTGCTTATCCAATACTTAGAACATAAATGAAAATCAAGTACATAACTCATGGCATATAGATCCCAGGGTTGAAAATGATTCAAAAATCAAGAAAGCCTCTAAAAATATGACCAAAAGAACCCAAAAGCAGAAAGGGTTCTGGGGAGTGGCGGTGTATTTGGTAGCATTTAACAGGACTTCTTGGGACGTAAATTTAGCCCCTGTTTGACAACCATTACTTTGGTAAAATGAAATTTCGAATATTGAGTTTTTGGAGAATTCGTGGTTAAAAAGTAGTAAAAAAAATTTGGGTTTCCGTGATAAATATTTTTTTGTGCGAATGTGTAGTTGAAATTGAGTATGTAGAAAAAAGTTTTGAAATAATGGTTGTCAAATAGAGGCTTAGTCAGCAAGCCATTCAGCAATTGTAGCAAACAGCCAGCAAAATTATAAATGCCATTAACTACAATGCATCCTTCTTAGAAGACATAGGAAGGAACATTGTGTTCTAATTTTGATGACTATATTGTCTCCAGGCCTTGTTTAAATGCATTTCAACATTTTCTACCATGAGAAAATCTGCTAGCATTTACTCAGTCGAAGCTACTACGTATTTGTTTGACCTGGTACTGCACTGGTAGTCTGCGTAGGGCATGCAAATATCTCCTAGAGA